CATCAACAGCGACAGCACCGGAGCGCTGACAGTGGCCGGGAATGCCATGCACTCTCAACGCACGAAGCACGTGGCCCTGAGGTACTTTTTCATCCGGGAGCTAGTACTGCGGGGACAAATCACTCTTCACCACCGGCCCAGCGAGCACCAGTTGGCTGATATCGCGACCAAGTACCTCCCAAAGCACCGATTCGCCTCCATCATTCAGCAGATCAAGGACTTCTCGTTTTGATCGAAGATCTGTGAAGCTTCCTTCCATACCCACCATACCAGAAGGAATAATTTTCGATGATGCCAACGGAGGGGTCGAGGTAGACAAGGATATGGTGATGCCGTCGACCATTGTGAAATAGTTGCTTGATCGAGGGGTCGTGTCAGGAAAATCGTGCGTCGAGACCACCAGTAGTCGGACACGGTTTGACCTTTGAATAAGATTGCAGCAACTAGTCTGCGTAGCAATAGAAAATAATCCATCTCTCCGTGGCATGTATTCTCTTGTTCTAGAGATATTCCGGAAGCATGCTAGGTCAAGGTTGACCGGGACATCTACGTAGAACGTGTGTAGCTTCTGGAAGCCTTTCGGAACTTCTGAAACCTTCTGGAAGCTTCTGGAAGCGTTCTAGATCTAGGTTGCAGTTGAAACTCTGCTAGAACGTAGGAGGGCTTCCAGAAATCATTATGGAAGCATTCTGCATCTTTCATGTAATTGGCTTATTTGTCCGGTGTTCGAGAAGAGTGGTGCAGCCCTAAAGCTCGCCCACCACTCTCACTCCTCTTCAGTACCAACAACATCTGACTCGGGAGTCAGCGATTAATAAAAACATCTTCATATTTCTATTCCAAGTCTCTCGCGGTTGGAGCCGCACAGAGTGTGAACCTCTGAGGTAGGCTACACAGCCCACCGGCATCTGCAGCATCGTACTGCTGCTAGTGCACAGCGAAATACAATCTGACAAACAACGGGGACGTAACGAGGATAGGGGGATTGAAACCGCAACATTCTTCCAACCCCCCAATGTTCTGTGAAAAGCAAAAGCATTCGACGCAAGGATTTGATTCGGTTGGGGCCAACCACGGAGGACCACGGTCATCAAGAAAGACAGTCGCCCATGCGACAGTCGAATGGATACTGTAGGTTACGCTGATTACTCGCACCCTTTATGGCCGTATTATTGGGGACACTATTTCATGGCTTGCAAAAGACAATGTCGTTCTCATTAGAAATCACTAGATTTCACGAACGGAAAGAGTGTACAACCTCTGAACAATGCCACCGGGCACATGTTGAAACAATGCTGAGAATCCAAGCTTCTAGGCGACCAACAAGGCAGAGATGCAGCAACGAAACGTCGGGTGATTCCTACCTATGTAATACACCAAGCCCAACTTTGGCAATAACGGCTAGGTAAAGCTGTGTAAGATGGCCAGTGAAGGCCCAGATTTGAAAGGCTTGTTTACGAGGGAAATGGAAACCGGAGCACAACACCACGCGTGGGCGCGTCACCACATCCATCCGTCACGCAATTTACATCACTAGTCGAATCTTCGATGAAACCAAATAGAAATCCGCTGTGAGTTCACCACCTACCAACTACGATCTCCGCAAATCTATGCCCAATGCTCAAGAAGTTTGCGTTTCTATGAGTATTCATGTTTATTATCCGTATGGTCCTCCCAAGGATACGCCGGAGAGCTTCAGATTCTTCCCGTGGCTCTCGCACTGTCGAATACACACATCATACACTTCACGTGAAAGCCGAAGAGTGATGGTGCGGATTTCTATCCTGGTTCGACCAGTTGTTCAATATTTGGCCGTGATGGTCGGACAACAGCTCGTCTGACTTTGCCCGTACCCCTCGATTGTGTTCCTTCCCCGGTGCCTGCTTGACTTGGGTGGAGGGGACACCGGGGGCGCGAGGCGTTCAGCATTCAAGTACGACGTCTTCTGAGATATCGTGCCTTGGCCGATGAAGGCATCGCCTTCCCCGAGCCATTTTCCCTAGCCCTCTTCCCTAGCCCTCAGCCCCTAGCCCCCTCCAACCGGTACATGCGATGGGTTATGTGGCGGATTTGTCGCCGATAGAGGACGTACCAGGCGAATGCCCCATTTCTTGCTTCGTAACACTTCGCAGTTTGCGTTTCGAATCCAATGTGCAATGATGTGTGGACATTTTGTCCTTCACGAGACCCATCACACTCCAGCACACTCCCTTCAAAGTGCAATCGAAGGAAAGGGCGACTTTCACACGAAAAACAACGCGAACAACGTGCTTTTCAACAGTCTCATTTCATTTGGACGTCAGATTCTTCACTTATTGGCTAGATTGTGGTCGGCTAGGGTCACACGACAATCCATCAGCTGCCGTTGCATGGGTTCGTAGGAAGCGCTGTGAACCTTGCCATCGTGCTGAAGGCACCGCACTCGGTTTTATTCGCGGAAACCGGCAATTCACCAGCGGCAGCGGCGGGTAGATGGGGTGAAGGCAGAGGATAGTCGGGCTAGTCGATATTTACCTCAGCAGCGAACAGGCGTTGCACCCCATTCTTTTCATCTGCACCATCAAAGTCTCCGACTTGCTTGGTGTTCGACTGCGTCATCTCCGCGAATAACCGATGCATAAATGGTGTCGAAGTCCGCATCCTTATTCTGGAATACATAGACTACATGAGTTCAAAAACTAACGGGAAAATACGAGGAGATACGAACTAACGCGTTGGCTCACACGATGAAATAATGGAGCCTACCTTCGATATAACGACACATGGCGTGTTTGAGAAGCCTAGATCAACCAGCGGTTAGTTGATGATGCTTGATGTACACCACAGGTCCGCTTGTCCAGTATTCTGTCATGAATAAATCCGTTGGCTACAGTACTCATTTTTCTCGGGCTTTCATCTGTGGGAGGAGATGAATTTCAATAGTTTTTTTTTCACCGAAGGTTTGAGCGAGAATTTTCATGGGATGGCCACGTCACACTTCCTCCAATATATGTTGTACCGGCAGCGGGCCCATCCTCTAGCAGCGTACCTTTTTGCCGTTCGCCTGTTCCCGCTTGCCATGTGACGGACCGGAAGGCAATATTTGCCATAGATTGTCTCTTGTTGCCTATATTCTTGTGCACTTCGAAGAGCTAATTGGGGTGACTTTTCTCAAAATCCCTTTTGGAGGAGGTTCGAGTCAAGGTCGTTCAGTATTTCTTCAGCAACCAGCCCTCTCTGGCCCTGCATGCCATACCTGACCGTGGCCGTGGGTCCACATTCAGACGAAAGGACTCGACTCGCGAGACGATTCTTGCCCTCTGCATTGGGCCGTTGCATAGCTCTTGTCATGTTCGCCTCGGCCTCGGCCTTCAGAGACGCCCACACGCTCTTCTATGCTGCATATACAACAACAGCGAACATATAATATTCTAGTCTATGCATATGAGATGTGAAGCTGCTGTACAGCAGTGCAGTTTTGGTGGGTTCCTGCATACGTGCTCCTACACGTTCGTGCGCTGCTGGTCGGATAGGGGAACAGGACGGAGGAACGAACTATGCAAGACAACACGGAGAGATAAACAGCATTTACATGGTATGTGGTGTCGCTTACCACAATTGCTTGTGGCTGGTGGTTTAGACTACTGCGGTACATACATGCCTTGTTCGCAAAGCGCTACGCAAATTCCGGCACGGGCCGGTCATTTCGACATCGTTGATTGGCCAAGGGATAACGGTTCCGCGAAGGATTGCGTAAGTGGTAAGCACAAGTGAGCACGTACGCACGTAAGTACGTAAGCAGTCTAAGCACCCACATGGTACACGGCTGCACAACTTGCACGGCCTGCTCGACACCATATCATCTGCTGTCCATCGTACCGTTTTGTCTTCGACGTCCCCTTGGTGTCTCTCCCTATCGATGCGACCGGCAGCACATGACGTGTCGAAGGTGCACGCGTGCATGTCCGAAGTCAACGGCATCCACTCAAACCTAACCTACGGTTGTTCGCTCTCACTCGCGGCTTCTCGAGTCGCTCACCAGTAAGCACACCATGCTACCCCGAGTAAGGAAGCAACGGACGCAAAACAACGACAAGAAACCGGCCAACCGCAATTGCTGGGTCCGAGTGTAGCCCCGGTTCTAATGTAGAAACACCAACACCCCAGTCAAATCCTTGACGACAGCATGATGAACCGCCGTCATGCGCTTCGAGATGCGACGAAAGCGTCGGACGACGGTGCCCACCTGGGTCTGAACATCCAGTAGACTAGCTAACACGGCTTCGTCAGCATTGTGCAACTCGAGGTGGGCCAGGTCGTCTGGGTCTGGGGTACGTCGAGCTGACCTATGCTTTTTCCCCTTTTGGTGTTGAAGAACCCCATCATTGTTGTTTCGCCCTATGACCTGCTGCAGACTGCATATCGTTTCTGCGTGAGTGCCTCTGTCGTTTCTATTTTGGTGGGCATTCTCTAGCAACTAGCCGGTAGGTGAATTGTGACCTTCGCCATGTGTTCACCGCGTCCGTACCCGACGTAGACCGAACGAAGTCGTTCTCGCGTACAAGGAGTCTCTGAGCAAGGATCCGAGGCATGTAAATATAGGAAAAACATAGGTGTGTGGGTAAGCTACGTGTTTGGATTTGGTCGGAGACCGCCGCAAGCATCGAGTTGACAGAAACGTACCTTCGTACCCCAGGCTATGGACGAACTCACGCATGTGAGAGTTCTCCAATCATTCGCGTCGTTCACATACCACCGGAATACCGAAAGCTCGACACTGACAAGATAGCTGCAACCGCGCGCAGTAGAATGCCCACCACGTTCCCTGGGTACCTGGCATTCTTTGTGAACGCATCTCCCCTCTTGGAGATCGTGGCGAAGCGCGGCCAAAACACAATTGATCGCCAACTTCGCTTGCCCAAATCGAAGAACGTGCTAAGGTCGCTACAGACGCTTCTCCCTCCAACACTACGAGGGTGCCGCCCCCTTCAGGTCGTACAGGTTGATCCTCTCGAGCCATCCCTTATCCTCCGGGTTGACCATGCGCGGGATCTGGTTGACCTTCGGGGACTTGCTAAACCAAAGGTAGTTGGCCAGCGGCTTCCCATTCTGGAGGTCGTCGGCGTACTCCAGCGCCAGCCTCAAGGACCGGCTCTGCGACAGCGATCCCTCGGCGGTGGGGTTTATCAGGACGGACTTGGTCGGCATCTCGGTCCCAAGGCTCTTGGCGATCCTGTCGGGCGTGTAGGGACGCGCGCGAGAATGAATGTCATCAAGATTTCGGCGAGGGCCAGCTGCCTTGGCCAAGAGTCGCGACTGGTTGGCAATCAAAAGCAGCAGCAGTAGTCAAATATCCTAGCCACCCCATCTTCTGAGCCGACAACATCACGGTCGTGAGGCTTCAAGAAACGGCGTTGCCGAGCCCGACTCCGAACCAATAAATATAGCGCACGGTTCAAACGCGTACCGTTCTACACGCTCGAACGGCATGAAGCTCCGGGGCGTCATTCACTCACCTTGCCGCTCTCCCCGAAGCGCCGAAGCCGAACTTAACGTGGTCTTCCCTCTGCACCACAAACAATTTCAGCCCCTGGTTATCGGTCGCCCAATCCACCGCCTTGTTAGGGTTTTCCACAGCAACGCCCGGGTAGGGGGGGGACGGGGGGCAAAAAGGGAGGTTTTTCAATGAAGCACCATGCATGGCCGTCGTTCACTCCCTACTAGATTCTTGCATGCCTACAAAAAAGCAGGCATGAGGTGTCCACTCCGCCGAACATCGAGCTTGCCAGATGGCTGGGTCGGGAGAAGGCAGCCTCTAGCAGCTTCGACCCCACACCCAGCTCCCGAACCCAACTTGTCAAGCCCGTCTCATACTGAAGTATTAAATAGGGAACAACGCTCGGGACCGTGTCGGAATTAGCATGGCACAACACGCGACGGTGAAGCTCGCAGGCGACTGTGAACAATGCCTCTTCTGCATACAGATTCGGCGAGCCGATCTGCACTGCACAGTGTGGAAAAGGCGTCAAAAAAGAATCTCGCCGCGAGACCAAGGCTACAATCACACGCTGCTTCTTGAAACGACCCTCTCTCCGACCCCCGCTACCCTTCCCCTAGACAGCATACCTCCCCCCCAACCCCGCGCGCCTCGCAACCCCCGCTCCTCGAACAACAATCCATCTCGCTATGAAAACCCGACATTTCGCTCCGTCCTGGCCTTGAAGGGGTGCGAGTCAACGGCCCAACCTTGCGAGTGTACTCCCCCGCAGAACTTGCACAAGCAGCGTGAGCGCCGGGACGCTACCGGCATTGCCCCTCCCCGGCCCGGCTTTGCCGTACCTTAGAAGCGAGAGCCTCGTCAGCCAGGATTCTCGCGGCGAAGAAGTTGGGCTTGGTCGGCGGTTTGCTGCCCAACAACCCCGCCTCCTTGAGCCTGTCGTACGAGGGGAAGATCAGCTGTCGAGAGAGACGACGACGGCGGTAGGACAGGACGGCACGGAACGGGCGAATAAATGAACGAACCCGGCGAGGTTAAGGGAACCGGCGGCGGCGTGCCGAAAGCCACCTCCTCGCAAGCACCACTCCCGAAACAAAAAATGAGGCGGCGGAAAAGGAGGCGGTGGAATATGGCGGCGGGGCGCGTTACAGGAAACACCCACGGCCCAAAGCAAGCGGGGCAGGGTGCCGACCATCGCTACAAAGGAGGTAGAGACAGGTCCTCCACGCTGCTTGTGGGTTGTTGGCCGGCGCTCTAGATACAAAAAGGAGACTGTGGAGTGTAGCGGAGGCCGTACCGGTGGTAGCGAGGGGCTTTCCAGCGAACGCCCAAGGCCAGGAGCAAAATAGGGTAGGGTGCCGACCATCGACCATCGCGACACAAGAGGCAGAGACGGCAAAAAAAAAAACGTGTACTGTATGCGTATGTTCAAAAACAACGGGGGGGGACGGCATACTACGTGTGGGATTGTTGGTCTAGTGCGCGTCCCGAGTCCCAGACTGAAAGGAGGAAAGGGCGGGCGGCTTGTCAGCTACATCGAAGGGCGAACAGGGTGACCTTTTCTGTGTGGCATCATACGAAGCACCTCGACGCTACAAATACGGGATCATACTAAGCTCCCTACAGCCACCGATAACCACGAAATGAAATAACGAGTGCAACCCTACAGAAGCCATTCTAAGACAAAGTCATGCCGCCGGAGAACGAAACACCAGTACAAGATGTTGGATTCGAGTCGACAACAAGCAAGAGAACTCGGAACACATTGCGATCTGCAAAGAGGGGGTTCGCGGCAGGACTTCCCGGGCTTCTCGTCTTCCCTCAGGGTGAGGGTGAGACCAGGCACACAGAAACATACAACAAGCAAAAAGCTGTTGGCGAGGAACCACGCTGTTTGCAAGCACAAGGGCGGGTCACTTGGGGTATGGATTACCGTTGGTACGTTGTCAATCAGAGCGGTAGTAACACCGCCCACCCAATCCGACGCGAGCGCTGAACAACTAATTGGGTATAATTCAACAGTGCTTTCGACAAAATTCAATACATTTTGGGTTTGTAGAGGCCAAGTTTGGGACAAAGCGGCGTTGCTCCTTGCTCCAGAAGGGAAGCAATACAATCTGCGGGTGCCCCAGAACAGCACCAGGTCGCGAAAGGCGATACAGCAGTAAGGGACGGACTTCCATCATGAGCCACAATAGGAAGTGTCGGAGAACAAAGCGAAACTCACACACAACGTACTTTGTCCGCGTAGACCTGGAAGCCCTTGTCCCTCACGTACGTCACGAAGCCCTTGAAGTCGGACACGTACGCGTTCCTGTCGTCCTCCCCGAGCGAGTCCATGCCGTTCTGCATCACGTCGAACACCTTCTCGCTGCCAGGAAACACAATAACACGCCAAAAAATATCCACGACATACATGCGGTGTTTGGTATCAAGTATCGTTTCTCGATATCGAAAAAAAATATCTACCCTGAAGGACAGACAGCACACGGCAAAGGCACAAACAAGCTCGGGACCAGCAAACTGCCAGTATGCCGCACACGGTCGCAACAATATGTTTCCGCGCAGCAAGGATATACTGCTTGACAGCGCGCATTTTCTGAAGGGTGGGGAGGCATATTCATTAAATCGTCGGGTATTTCGGAGCCCCACGCATGCTTGACTGTGCCACGGAAAAACATCGCTGCCGTGCATCAAAGGCGAGGCGAGGGGTGCGGATTGCCGAGGTCCCAGCGTCGAAGTCGGGCCCCAAAAAAAATAATAATAATATATTACGTCAATAATGACAGAAAGGATAACCAAAAAGACTCCACACAAAAGGTGATACTGGTATCAAATAGCAACCCCACACGGTGTACGGACGTCCGGTGCTGTGCTTGTAGGTCTTCATGCCCAACGGGGCCAAAAGCTGAACGTGAGAACACCCAAACGATCGACCCGTTCGTCTAAAACTCCTCACCGCGCACACGATGGGAATAAATAATGAAGCACCTTGCCCTACAAAAAGAATTCAGAAGGCCGTTCTTCGCAACGTGCAACAGCCCGGCTACCGAGAGACCAGCCCCAAGAAAAGCACACCCCGCACGATGGCATCAGATGAACTTAACGAAGATCAAGCTGACTTCGAAAATCGTACAGCGTTCTTGAACAGAACGAACACCACCCGCACAATGGCTGGACGGGGACCAAATTAACCAAGACCAAACGTGAGTTCGAATATCATACATTGTCCAGCGTCTCCGAACAAAGCGAAATGATCATGCGTGATGGCGCTTGACAAACAGAATGGCGCCTGACAAACTTTTCAAAGGCCAAAACCTGGTTCGAAAAATAAATCGTAGCGTCCCCGATAAAAAAAAAAAACAATCATGCAAGATGGCGCGCCTGACAAACTTAACGAAGGCCCAAACCGAATTCGAAACATGACAGCATGTAGCGCGTCCCTATCAAAAGAGAAAACAATCACACACGATGATCGCCGAGTGGCCCTCGTTACGATCTTCTCCTTAATCCCCTCCGCGCCAACAAAACATCAAAGCGGCGCTCCTGTTTTCTCTCGCCGCCCCGAAAACCCCAAACGATAGCAGATCAAGCCCCTCCTGGCCCAAACGCAGCAGGAAACTGCATGCATCATCCCCTACCACCACCACACACACACACCGCCGTCGCAACCCCTGCTGTACACCCGCACGCACCTGTCGACTCCCAAGGCGACCATCGGCAGGCCTCGCCTTCTCGCGAGGTGCAACAACGGTAGGAAGTTCTCGAAGGGAAAGGCGCAGCGCTCCGCCCACTGCGTGGCCCGCGCCAGCTCGGCGTCCGCGCTGTCTAGGTCCCCGTCCTTCCCATCACCCCCCTGGCCTCCTCCGGCAACGTATGAATCAAGGGCCGGCTGGAACTGCATTTCCACCTTCTCGCAAGGTAGCGCAGGAGGGGGGGGGGGGGGNAGTCGTGCATGCCGTAGTCGTTAGACCATTGACCTCGCATCCCTACAAAGCCGGGACGGAGCACGCCGGGTTCTCCCGTACGTAGGTGCTCCCGTACGTCTCACAGGTTAGGCCGCAAGGCGGTCGTGTGCATGGCGAACGAAGCCAGCGGCATCACAGAAACAGACACCAATATGGCATGCAGGAAAAAACACACGAAAAAATATGCCCCGTCGTGAGACAAAAGCGAGCACGTGCATTTGTTCGCGCCTCGTGTCTCTGCTGTCGAAAGTGCATCCGCCGGTCGTTCCCATTCTCCACACGGCCTCTACCCTCGCGTCGTTCCCATTCTCCATACACACACATCAAGTCAAGCAGCGTACACATGGTTCAAAGTCCTCCTCGCAACCGCCTCCCCTCCCCATTCTCGCCCCCCTTCCCCCCTCCCGGACAAAGGTGCAAGAAGACACACATCCTCGCGCGCGCGGCAAAACGGCGGGGCTCCCTTGCCTGCTCGAGTCCGATGGCCGCCTGGTTCTTGAGGCTGGCGGAAAGCTTTCCTATCACGTCCGCGGCCAGCGCCGGGTCAGGTGCGTCCTCCCCGTGCACCCCGAAGAAGACGAGCCCCTGTCCGGCAATTTCCTTGATGAGGTTGGGCTGTGCGTGCGACGA